CATGAGAGACACATGCTGCTGAGAGAGAAATGAGAGACATGCACTACTGAGAGAGCGATGTGCTACTGAGACTGCCGGCTGCTGAGTGAGATGGCCGGCTGCAAGATACTTAGTGCATTTCTGAACTTGAATTGTAGCCTGTTACTTCCCTAATAAACACGATAATCTGTGAGTTCTCTATGGCCACTGCAGCAGATTATCGAACCCAGCAGAGAGGTGGTGGGTGCTGCAGGAGGAACAATTGCTGTCAGTGTTGATGAAAGGGCTGGAGGGAAGCATCATGTCTGGCCTCATAGGAATAGGCCTTGGGCGACTGATGGTAATTCTGTCTTCCTCTTGTGGGGTTAGAGGAGGTCAGAAAATGGGGCCTCACTGCTCCTTTGGCAGTTGGCCAGGGTAGCTGCATTCCAGTGCAATACAACATCTGATTTCTTGACTGCTGCTTCCATGGGTGTTGATTATGGATCCAAGAAAATGGAAATCTTTGACAGCTTCAGTCTTATCTCCAAATATTTATCTGATGTTGTTTATTGATCGACTTGTGAGGATTTCTGTTTTCTTTATGTTGAGGTGTAATCATTCCATAAAGAAGACTGTAGTCTTTAATTTTTATCAGTAAGTACTTCAAGTCTTCTTCACTTTCAGCAGGATTGTGGCATCTGCATATCACAGGTTGTTAATGAGTCTTCCTCCAATCCTAAAGCTGCATTCTTCTTCGTATAGTCCAGCTTCTCAGATTATTTGCTCAGCATACAGATTGAATAAGTATGGGGAAAGGATACAATCTGGATGTACACCCTTCCTGATTTTAAACCTTTCAGTATTCCCTTGTTCTGTTTAAAAAACTGCATCCTGGTCTGTGTTCCTCGTGAGCAAGATCAAGTGTTTGGGAATTGCCATTCTTTGCAATGTTATCTGTAATTTGTTATGATCCACACAGTGGAATGCCTTTGGATAGCCAAGAAAAGATAAACATCTTTCTGGTTTGCTTTCAGCCAAGATCCATCTGACATCAGCATTGACATCCTTCAGTCCATGTCCTCTTCTGAATCCAGCTTTCATTTCTGCAAGTTCTCTGTCATTATACTTCTGCAACCCTTTTTGAATTATCTTCA